CGCAATATAATCACTCCAGTTTCAATTAATTTGGTAATTTATCTCAGAATATCTATCAATAATACACACAAGAGCAAAAAAGATTCCCCCAGGAGTAGAGAGTTAAAGAAACCCCTATAACAACCCAGTTCCAGTTGGAGTGTGCGTGTGGGTCCACGGGGCCCAGACACCTGCAGTCGCAACCCCTCAGAGCCCAGCTAAAGGGCAACCCCTGACCCAAACACGCACACCACCATCCCCCAAGAGCCGAGCCATGGGGCACCTCCTGGCCCAGACACCAATCTCCCCTCCCCATAGAGCCTAGCCGCAGGTCAGCCCCTGACCCAGACACCAGCACCCCCCCCCTACAGTGCCCATCCATGGGGCACCCCCCCAGACACCAGCCCTCTCCTCTCTACAGAGCCTAGCTGTGGGGCAGCTCCCAGACACCAGCCTCCCGTCCCAACAGAGCCCAGTCCTGGTGCAGCCCCCAGATGTCAGCCCCCCACTCCCCACAGAGCCCAACCATGGGGCAGACCCCAGATGCCAGTCCCCCTTTCTCCACAGAGCCCAGCTGTAAGGCAGCCCCCAACCAAGACACCAGCACCCCCAGAGCCTTTATTCCCCCCCAACTTCTTTACTGAACTGCCAGGGGACATGGTGTGGTGGTGCCCTGCCCTTCCTCACCATTTGCCATAGCTGGCTGGGTCTCCGAGGTCCTCTCCCCTCCTGGGAGAATGAGGATCAAAGAGCGTGCACCCTCCTACCCCACCAGGCTGGGTGCTCTGCTCACTGCAAGCTGGGCTCTGCAGAGTCCAGCAGCCCCTCATGGCAGCCAGAAATTCTGCAGGAAAAACGGAATTCTGCATTCCGCAGTAGCACAGAATTCCTCCAGGAGTAATACAATGGAGAGTTTGAGAGGCCAGATCCCATTCATAGTCCTGGGAGAAGCACCTGCTGAGAATATCTGCTGTGGTGTTTTGAACACCCAGAAGGTAGACAGCTGAAATTTGGATCTCGTGGGCTATACACCAGTTCCACAGCTTTGTTGCTTTAGCACATGGAGATGGGGACCTTATTCCTCCCTGTTTATTGATGTAGACTATGCAGGCCACATTGTCCATCATGATCTAATTGATTTGCCCCGATGAGAGGTGAGAAATGATGGCAAGCATTCCTGACTACCCAGGAGTTCAAACAGGTTGATGTGGAGACTGGTTTCCTGAGGTGACCATCTGCCCTGAGTTGTGAGAGTACTGAGGTGAGCTCCCTATCTCAAGAGAGATGTATCCGTTGTGAAGGGTGTTGTTGGACATGGGAGAATGAAAGGAATGTCAGCACAGACATTGAGTTGATTTTTCAACCCATCTAGGATGAATAGTTTTGCATGATCAATCACGAAGGTGCAGGTTGACATATGAGCCAGGAGCTGTACACAGTTCCTTACTGAGGTTCATGGACTCCCCTGAATGGTCCTGGCTACATATGCTAATGTTATGAATCCGTCTGTGAGGAGGTAGACCCTGACTGTCAATGAATTCAAGTATGCCCCTATGAATTGTATTTTCAGTACAAGGTGGTATGTTGGTACTTGGGAAAAAGACAGTACAGACGACGAATGGGATACCAAAAGACCCTGCGTAACTATGAGCAGAGGAGACTTGGATTCATCTGAGACAAAGAGGTCTTTAGGGAAGCTAAACTTCTCCAGGACCAGAGGTCAACTGAAAAGAGGAGAGACCAAGCTGAGAGGGGTCAGTACTGGTGCTACTCTGGTCTTTGTGGGCTTCTGGCGATCTAGCTGCACAATAGTTTTCTGTGATCCAGAGGCCATGGATGGTGCGGAGGGTGCAGAGGTCAGTACTGAGACTTTAGAAACATCAGAGTGTCTCTTGTATTGCTACAGTCACCCATCTCAGGCCAAGACCATTGAGCACTAACTGAGGGCAGATCATCTGATACCAAAAAGGCATCGCTATCCAAAATCTCCAATCAAAGGCATGTTCACACCTGAAGTAGAACACTCATAGGGTCATTACTTGAAAAGAACAAAAAAATCCCCAAACAGGACAAAGGGACAAAGGTCAGATAACAGGGCTTTAAAAAGGACTGCCAGGAGGGGAAAAAAGGAAGGCTATTGGACGGTGTAGCAGGGTGCTGGTGCAAAAGTACCTAATTAGCCCCTGCCCGGTCAGGTCCAATCAGGGGAAACAGATTGGGGCTGACAGAAAAGGCCTGATGCCAGTCTGAGGATTGGCAACACCTGCTGGCCTGACAAGCCAAGGGCTATAAAGGCTGGGAGGGAGCCAGAAGGCAGGGGACAGCCAGGGAGGGAAGTGGAGGCCTCCTAGCTGAAGGCTGTCTCTGCCTGTAAAGGAGGTGACTAATCCTGTAAAGCTTGTATATAAATAGACACTGATGGTGGGACAACCTTAAGTAAATAAAGACACAGGTGTTGCGCAACCCGGAAGACTCTCTGAGCCTTATTTGGGGCAGCAAGCAGGCCCCAGGAAGAGGGCGGGTCGTGAACCCTGTTACAGAAGAACAGAAGTTTTGGGAATGAGACAAAGAGACTCATCAGCCATATGACTGCCTTGGGGATGAGTAAGTTTTCCCCTTGTCAGGTTTCCCCTCTCCATAGCCTCACTGACCAGTCATTCAGGTTTTCAGGTGGCTCCTCTTTTTCTTGTGACTCAACCTTCTGGCCAAGTCACTCTTTAGTCTCACCCCTTTCAGGGTAAGTCAGCGTGCACCCCAGTAACAGTCTGTCTGCCTTGTTCCAGAGTTCTAGACTGACTTTAGGTCCACTAGGCCTTATGACACTTATCCAGAGCCTTTGTTAGGGTTTCTCTTGGTGGTCTGGAGGGGAACTCAGTCCCATCCTCTACCCTAGGTTCCAGCCCTAAGGTCCACTTCCTCACACCTCCTGCTTCTTCCATGGATGTCTTCCTACTGTGGCCTGCTTAAAAATATTCTTCCCAAGCCCTTTTAAGGCCTCAGTGGAAAGGTAACAAAGGAAAAACACAACAAAAATAGTCCTAACAAGTCCCTCGCCTCCCTCCTTTCAGGATATACCTGACAAGCCGTAGCCCAGCTAGTATCCTCAAAGGCTACCCGGAAATGTTTGCAGAACCTCCTTGGCAGTTCCATCCTCCACAGTACTCCTTTCTGTGAACTAGTGGGGAGAGATATGTCCACCTCCTATGGCTGGGTCTTTTTAAATTGAGCTTCTCCCTTTTTAATCTCTTGCTCCAAGATTGGCATGCCTTGCAGGTTCAGCATGGTGGGGCTGCCTGATGCCAAAACTGCATTTTAACCCCTTCCTGACTGGTGTGGAGGGTGTACACTCCATCACATGCCAGGAGACAGGGAGAGATGGGCATGCTTTCATAGCGGGGACAAGGGGGAGGAGAATCCAGTTTGTGAATCAATCAATGTCAGAAACAGCTAGCTTGGATGAAAAGGCTCCAAGAATTTGAAGAGAAGTCACGAGCTGCAGGGGAAAGATTCTAGACACCACAGAAAACTCTGCCCAACCCCAAAGTATCAGAGGGGTAGCCGTGTTAGTCTGAATCTGTAAAAAGCAACAGAGGGTCCTGTGGCACCTTTAAGACTAACAGAAGTATTGGGAGCATAAACTTTCGTGGGTAAGAACCTCACTTCTTCAGATGCAAGGGAAGAAGTGAGGTGCATCTGAAGAAGTGAGGTTCTTACCGATGAAAGCTTATGCTCCCAATACTTCTGTTAGTCTTAAAGGTGCCACAGGACCAACCCCAAAGAAAATTCACAGTGGTGAGGAACATGACACAGGGAAACACTTTTTGGAGTGTCTGCTATTTTGTATAGATCTGGTTTTCTCATAGTACTAAGTAAAGAGTAGTGGTGTTTTGGAAAGCTGTGCAAAGTTTGTGTATGTCTGTTGGCTTTCACTAGAGGTACCCCTGAAGAGGTAAACTGTAAACCAGACAGCTCACCCTTTCAGTGGGATTCTGAGGAATGTGCAAAAGCTGTTGGGGAGACTGCACATTTCAGCACCTCGGCATTTGGACTGCAGGGGTCATCTCTGCCAAGAAAGGTGTCAGACTTGACATCTGCTCCAGCAGGGTTGAGCTTAGGTACTGTGCCTCTAGCCACACAAAGCTAGGAACAGTACCTAAGCTCAACCCTGTCCCAGCAAGCAAAGGGCATGTGCGAATCAATGTGTGGTTTAGAACTGAGCAAAAAGAGGAAGTGTCTGTGTGTGTGTCTGGGAGGGTGGGTCTCTTTCTGTTAAAACTGTCGTGGTTTTGAGAAAATGTAATCCCAAAGCTGGACAGAATGTCAAAGCCACCAAAAAATTGCAGAAAGACTTTGAAGAAAAATTCCACTTTGGGACAACCAAAACATATTTTTTTAGCTCCCCAGCTACATTCAAGGAAGGCTCTAATCAATTTCAAAAGCCCTGCTGCTGGAGAGGCAGAAAGCCCCTTCACTCTGCTTCCCTGTCAATCCCCTCGAGTTCCCAGAGCAAGTAAGGTGCTGTCCTGGTGCTCTGCCTGTCTGTCCCCTAGAGCCAGCTGGGAAAGTGGGGAGGCAGAGCTTCCGATGCTCTGCCTGCCTGCCCCCCAGTAGCTATGGGAAAGGTGGGAAGGTAAAGCACAGCAGTGCTGTCCTTCCCCATCCCTTGGCACTGTGGGGAGATGGTGATTGATGAAGGTTTAGTTGCATCTGTACTAGATTTGATGAAACATTTCATTCTGCCTAATTGACATTTTCTGACTACACTCAGTTTTGGAAGAAAATTTCCAACACGATCTAGTTTGAATTTTCTCACAACAGTCAGGAGAGCATCCAGCAGCCGGGAGCCCAACCAGACCTGTGGCAGTACCCTAGGCTAATAATGGACCAGTTAGTAAATATAACAGAGGTGCTTTTGCAGGTGGCCAGCAATGCGTGGCAGGCTTACTGCCAAGTGTAACATTGGGGGAACTGGGATTAGAAATCTTATCATATAGTGTAAACGTGAATGAAATTTTACTTACCTGCTAAAGACCCGAGCAATTTGAGCTCTTTTATGCACAGCAAAGCTGAGAACCAGAAGAAGAAGAAGGATGCTTCCTATTGCTATTCCCATAATGACAATCTCACTACTGGACACTTGGAAAGAAACAGACACAGAACATTACACTTTGTTTGCACTTAGGACTTACTCATATAACTGTAACAAACATTTCCGTAGAAACTGAGGCTTGTCCCTGTATGAAGTGTGCATGCATCACACACACATCCAGCTATCTCATACGTACATTCTCTAACAATACTAGCAACGAGGCCTCCACATTTGTTTTGTCTGCACACAAGGTTCCAGCACTGCTGCTTGTTTCTGCTGTGCATTCTCCCTAATCATGAATACCATGTGTTGGCAACAGCTGGGTAGGCAGTGTGACACAGTCACATGGTTGTCATATTGCACATGAATTTGGGATGTAATATAGCTGCCCCCTCCCCCAAAAAGGCCTTGAAGTTTCAGGCCGTATATGTACAAGCATCAGACCTTGGAGCAAGGAGGGAATACTTCTTTCTATATGGGCCTAGAGTGACCACACCTAGAATTGTGTTCATTTTTCAGCACTACAGTGACGGAAATATATTTAAAAATTAGAGGGAGTAAAGAAAAAATAACAAAACTATCAGGGATCTAGAGGGCTTGATTCATAAGGAAAATATAACAGATAAAAACGTATCGCTTGGTTGAGCAATGACTAATAGGGGACATGATAACAGTCTACAATTATGTACACATTCTCAAATGAGAATGATCTCTTTCTGCCAATCATGGTAATTCTACCAGAGTACCCCAGCTAATGCTAAGCTGCCACTGTGAGAGAGTCTGTCTCTCAAACACTTGTGTCCCGGGCTATATAGAGCTTTAAAGATCATACCCAACACCCAGAACTGCAGCCACAAATGAACAGATACCCAGTACAGATCACAAAACATTACTGTGATATGCCAACAGCTAACCCATTCAGTTCAAGAAGAGACCCACTGTACTCTACACCTACTATCTTCTGGGAGCAGATTTGGACTCACAGGAAGCATGGAAGTTACAGTGCAACTCCATGGCAAAGGAGACAGGGTCCCCCCCATAGCACTTCTCTATGGCTCTGGCACTAACACTCAAGGCACCACATGGGAAAAGGATTCTGGGAGATACATATACTGCAGAGCAACAGCCTTCACTCATGTGTCTGGCTGCCTCCAGGTATCTCCATGTTAGCAGCACCAGAGTATGTGTAACTGCATATTTGTGCAGGAGAGAAGTTTCTGGAGGAGACTTTAGGACTTGCTGTGTGGAGGGAGAAAGAATATTTATTGGCCTTAGAGTAACTGTGATTCAGGATGTGTTGTCCCCATGTATTCCACTTCTGGTGTGCACATGCCTCATGCACTCAAGACAAGACTCTTTTGGCCAGCACTGTCTGCTGAGGCTGTCTCTGCACCTATGCCTGTTCAGCCCATCTTGCTCAAGGGTATCAAGGGTAGATTGGGCCAAACCATCCCTCAGCTCCTTCACCAGTACAGAACGCAGCTGTTGTAGAAGTCCATAGAAGTGGAGGAGGGCAGGTCATGGAATACATGTGGACAACACATCCTGAGGAACTACAGTTAGTGTATGCAAAGTAACTGTTCTTTCCTCTTTCATGTTTGCAGTATTGTTATAGCCATGCTGGTCCCAGGATATTAGAGAGACAAGGTGGGTGAATCATTGTCTTTTATTGGACCAACTTCTGGTGATGAAAAAGACAACTTTTTCCAGGAACTGAAGAAGAGCGCTGGATAAGCTTGGAAAGTTGTCTCTTTCAACAACAGAAGTTGGCCAAATGAAAGATATTGCCTCACTCACCTTACTGTTTCGAGTAATTACACTGGTCTACAATTTTTGAGAAGTCGTCTGCTTCAGAGATAAAATGTGCTATTTATTATGTATTTTGATGTGCTGAATTCAAATATGACAATTAAAACAATTGATTGGCTACTGTTTCTAAGATATTTAAGTTTTTACATTTAATGTCTATGTATATTGTGTAGATAGTAGAG